TACAAGTCCCCTGCACTTGTAATTAGCCTAGTTACTACTATAATTACTGTTATTAAAGCCTCAAGAACCCTCAAGAAACTCCCCAGTGATCAACCAGCACCCAAAATCAACCTTTCTGAGCGCTCCCAACTGTCCAGTTTCAACTTTGAAGATCCTCAAGACCCCATAGGATTATTACTAGTAAGTAATAACCCTTTTCTTGAGATTTTCCCCTTAAATTCTTCCTGGGATTTAAACCACACCTGTTCACAGGCCCCAGTGTTCCAGGTACCTAAATCCTCTGCTTTTACACGATACCTTAGAGGGATTAAACCACCCCTGATTCATCAGGCCCCTCTGGTTTTATTTATATTAATTTTATTAATATAAATTGGCCATTTTTTCCTACTAAATTTACGCCATAAATTCCTTATTTTTTTGGAATTTATTCCTTTAGAATTAAGACCAAAAATCTTTAAGCCTTTTGCTTGCTTTTGCACCACGTGTAGCTAGAAGATTATACATCTTGGCATCACGTAGGCTGACAATTATAACCTCACAATATTACTTGTTAAGAGGCCAAGAGTTGAGTGTTAATCAATACTCTGAATTCCAAGGGAGGAATTGAGGAAGAGTGAATTGTTTGTTAGACAATAGATCACAATGAGTTCGTCCAAAAAGGTCTTTTGGATGAGTTGAAGATTCCTGGGCAAGTTCTAGAGCAATACTTCTGCAACAGAAAGTAAGAAAATGGCCAATTTTAAAGGAATAAACAGCAGGGATCTTTTAATGGCAAAGGCTACAGGTTGAGGCTGAGTGTAGCAGTAAAAGAGGAGTTCTGTCTCGTATTTAGAATGCTAAGGTTGATAAGAGAAATGGTTGGAAATGCTGGCTTCAAGTATATAGTAGTATATATGGTGAAGTGGGTGAATTTCTGAGGGTTTAAGCACTCAATAAAGGATTCTTTATATAGCCACACACTGAAGGTGGCTTGCAGTGCATTTTTGCATGATGACACTGATGCTTTGGGCTTGTTTGGCTGGGTGGAAGCCAAGCCCAAGGCCTTGGTTATCAGTATCCCAAAGGCTGAAACAGTTGTAACTGTAACCACGGGTACAGCTACCCAGTCAGGAGGGTATGATGCAATGCCAAGTTATTGCTAGGGTTCTATATACCCAAAGGAGACCTTTTGTTTTGTCTCCAATCTATTTTTGAGGAGTTTGGTTGAGGTATTCTGATATGTACTGGCTGAGAACAGGGTAAGCTACTTGGTCCAGATTGAAATGGGCCAATTCTCAACCCTGTTGATTTCAAACTGGACCAGGGTTGTTCTGGTGGATGGCTGATGTAAGAGGACATTCTGAGTTCGCTCAGAGATGTTATTAATGTTAGGGATAAACAAAACAGGTTACATGACCAAGTGGCTGGTCAGGGTTCAGAATATGTGGCCTAAACTGGTTACTTGGTTATAGTTGCTGAACTACAAGGTTGTACATGTTGCACAAGCCTTGGAACCTTGTTTATCTTGAGTTCGCATCCAATTACTTTGTTTATGTCATCAGCTGATTTGGTTCTGTAACTTTAAATGTCTGTAACTCTTTAGTTATTGATTATTTTACAGAATTCTTTGTTTTTTGAGTATGTAGTTACACAGTGGTATGTAACTACATGAATGTTGTTTTTGTTTTCAAAGTAAAGTAAAAAAAGTTTATTTTTATTTTTAAAGGGTGTTAATAAAAAAACGCGGTAAATCCGTGTTTACATGCAGTTTTGCTGCAGCACAGCACACGCGGATTCCGCGTGTACACGCGGTTTTATTAATTATGCATAAAATATGCATAAGTTTGCCTCAGGGGCCGCGTGCGCGTACCACAAGTGCCTGCATGAACTTTACAAATTTTCCTGCAGGCACCAAACAAGAAAACCACTCACCACAATCAAAAAAGGACATCACCCCCCCTCTAAACCTTCAACACACCACAACTCAACCAAAATTGACAAAAAAAATACCAGAATCATTCATTTTTTCTCCTCTTCGACGCCAAGGACTCGGATTTTTTTGATTCACCACCGGTTCACTCCCAACTTGCAGGTACACTCTAAACTTCAAAAAATCATAACTTGGCCATTCCTCAACCAAAATTCACAAAAAAAATACAAAAAGTATCCTTTCTTCTTCCTCTTCAGCGCCATGGTATTCAATTTAGCTGATCTACCTTTTTTTTAAAAAATTCATTGTTAGGCCTCAAACTTCAACCCTGAATAACTCTTTCAATTCTCAACAAATTTCTTCAAGAAAACCATTAATCATCTTCTTTCTTGATCTTCTTGACGGCCACCGCCTCCGTTTTTGACGCTGGACCTCTCTTTTTTTTAATTCATTGCTGGAACTCAAAATTGACTCAAACTTGAACTTTGAAGAACTCAGCCATTCCTCAACCAATTTGTTCAAGAAAACCATCAATCATCTTCTTTCTTGATCCTCTTGACCGCCACTGTCTCCGTTTTTCCCTCTGGACCTCTCGTTTTTTTTAAATCATCGCTGGAACACTAGTAGGACTCAAACTTCAACTCAGAATAACTCAGTCAATTCTCAACCAATTTCTTCAAGAAAAACATCAATAATCATCTTTCTTGATCCTCTTGACCGCCACCGTCTCCTTTTTTCCTGCTGGACCTCTCGTTTTTTTTAAATCATCACTTGAACTCTAGTAGGTCTTGAACTTCAACTCAGAATAACTCAGCCATTTCTCAACCATTTTATTCATTCTTGGAGTACACACGAGAATGTGGATATTGATCTTGTGATTCAATTGTTTTCCCATGTACTTACTCCTTTTTCTGATTGTTCATCCCCTCTGTTTCCCTCTTGAACTTTTGTTAGTATGAGTACAAAGACAGCATCAAGCTGGCAGGAGTAATACCACACATCTTACACGTTAACGACGTCAAAGGCGATGGGAACTTTGGCTTTCGAGCGGTTGCAGTCAGCTTGGGCCGCAAGTCTGACGAATGGGACTCAATCCGCGAAGAAATGAAGAAGGAATTTGAGTCGAACAAGGCCTATTCAGACCAAAGTTTTTGGATAACGTATGGGGAGCAGGGGACGACCAAAAGGAAATTGTTGATTCTCTTGCATGGAGAGACAAGGAACAGCAAGCCCCCCTCAAGTACTGGATGACGTTCCCGGCCCATGGATATTTAATAGCTGATACGTACCAAAGACCAGTTATTTTATTATCGGAACAGATGCCTGCAACTTATCTTCCTCTTTCGCATACTCCAAACAACAACCCTCCAATCTGTCTGATTATTTTACCAGACTACTCTCATTTCATTAGTTTCACTTTCAAGGCTGAAATATGGCCATGCCCCAGGATTGATACATTTTGGAGACACTATGTCAGTGATGAAGCGCTGGGTTGGGAGGATTGGATTCAAGCCCACACTGAGCTGGGTCAAGAAGTCTAGTACCCACCTGTCAGAAGATCTTTGCGCTTCAAAAAGGCTCCTGTTGAGGTTGATTAACTTTTGTCACTACTGTTCTCCGTACCTTCCTCTGATTTCCTTACTATTCTCCGTACCTTCCTCTGATTTCCTTACTATTCTCCGTACCTTCCTCTGATTTCCTGCTATTGTCCCTCTTCTCATTTTAAATTCCAAACTACGCTCGTTTATGCCCACACTCTTTTGTAAATCCAAAATTTGGCCTCACTAGAATATTATAGTAATTTTTACCTTTTCCCATTGATAAATTCAAGTTTGGAAGGTTGAATAACCACCAGGAACTTTCCACTATGCTTGCATCAATAAAATGTGAGGGAGAAAAAATTAAAACGCAAAGGAATCATTTTTATGAAAAATAAAATTTACCATTGAATTCTACACCTTTTAAAGTGTAGGAAACAAATTTACAATGTCAAAAAATAATGAAAAACAAGCCGCTAACACTTAATTGAAAAAATGAGTGGGAACGGAAATTACAATGCATAAAATTCATTTTTATGCAAAATAAATTTTTCCATTGAATTCCACACCTTTCAAAGTGTAGGAAACAACGTTACAATGTCAAAAAATAATGAAAAACAAGCCACTAACAATTAATTGAAAAAATGAGTAAGCAGAAAAAAAAAATCAAAGTCATTTTTATGGAAAATGGACTTTACCATTAAATTCGTCACCTTTCATAGTGTAAGTAGTAGTAGTATTAGTACCGGAGCTCTAGTTTCTGATTAAAGCGCCTTAGCAAGAAATTGTTCGAGGAAGAGATCATTAACAAACTCTATAACAAACCATCTGTTTCGTGCACAAGCCTTCAGCACCATAGCATCCATTATTAAACTGAAGTTGTAACAGATTCATTAGTAGATTGATACGTGATCTAGGTCTGATAGAGATTACTTTACAAAAGTAAGATCTATCTTGGAATCAGCCATACATTATTAAATATTGATTACAAGACTCTTAGTTATTTGTTTAGTACATTTAGAGGGGCAGGTCTTTCAAACCACCCGTAAGTTGTAATGGCCTTTCAACCTATTTGCAATTTATTTCCCCCTCAAGGGATCTTTTTGATATACATATACTTTACCGTGTCTATCCGTCCCAGGAGTCCTACACCGTGTGTACACGCGGATTTGCTGTGCCGCAGCAAAACTGCGTGTAAACGCGGATTTACCGCGTTTTTTTATTAACACCCTTTTTAAAGGCCTTTGTGGTCATTTGCAGGCTTTTGACCATATACACTTTTATATGTAGATTTTTATGCTTAATATTAATTTACTATTTATAATATTTTTTCTTGGGCTAGTCTTGAGACTTGACTATGAGTTGTAATTGTTATTTTTATTATTTTATATTTTGAGGCCTATGGGTATGTATATACCTC